GGCCGGCTGGAACCGGGCAGGAGTTCAGCAGCCGAGCTGGGCGTCCGTCAGCAAGTCCCCTGGTGTCCATCTGTCCTGAGATCTCCCGGGGAGGGCGGGAAAACTCCCTGCCCCGGGGTCTGCTGCTCCCCCGGGGAACATTCCCTGTGACTCTCCCCGTGCACCCTGACTTGGGCCGGTTTCACCCCCTGCGCAGGGTTCCCCGCCCCCAAACCCGAGCTGATCGCCCGGCTGGAGCGAGGAGAGGAGCCGTGGGTGCCAGATCTCCAGGCCGACGCGGGAGGGGAGACCCCGAGAGGCGCCCGCCCAGGTGAGCAACAAGGGAAACTGAGGCAGACGCGTCTGTCCGGGGAAGGGAGAAGCTGGGTCCTGTGGAACGGCCCGCGAGCGAGAGCCCTCGGTTTGGGCCTCTCTCGCCCAGGCCGGCGCTGCCGCCAGCAGATCCCATAACCTCAAAGCAAAGCTCAGCCCTGCTTCTCCTCCCCCGTCCCGTTGGCTGTCGGGAATTTTCCCCCCCTGGGCGTGTCTGGGTGGGGGCAGGCTGAGCCCAGAGTCCCCCCCTCCCCACCAGACCTTGTGTCGTGTTTTCCCTCGTGGCTGGTCCCCTCTCTGCCCTTTCCCCCAGCACACTCAGTGACTCCTGCCTGGGTTCTGTCTCCCCAGCAGGCAGCGGGGCCGAGGGTGAGAACAAGAAGGAGAATCAGCAGCAGGAAGGTCCTGGGGGCGTGGAACCACCAGAGACGTTCTTGGGAGGAGCCGGAGGGAGTTTTCCCCCGGGCGTGGCAGCGGGATGTGCCCGGGGAGAGCGACTCAGGGCCGGGAGGGAGGAGGGAGCCGGAGGGAGTTTTCCCCCGGGCGTGGCAGCGGGATGTGCCCGGGGAGAGCGACACGGGGCCGGGAGGCAGAAGACACCGGATGGATCCGTTCCAGGTGGAGGAGGATTGAAAGATGTCAAGGAAACGACAATCCGGCCGGCACGTCCCAAGGACGAGAAATCGTACAAATGCCCCGAGTGTGGGAAAACGTTCCGCCGGAGCCCAGCCCTCATGAACCATAGGGCAGTCCATAGACGAGACAGACCCAATAAATGCCTGGAGTGTGGGAAGAGTTTTGTGGACCAAGCGGGGCTTATGAAACACCAGACCATGCACACCGGAGAGAGACCCTATCGGTGCGGGGAGTGTGGGAAAGCCTTTTTTCGGAATTCCGAACTGAACGTGCATAAGCGAGTTCACACCGGCGAGAGACCCTTTAAATGCCTGGCGTGCGGGAAAAGTTTCACCCGCAATTCACAACTTGTCGCGCATCAGCATACTCACACCCGGGAGAAACCGTACAAATGCCTGGAGTGTGGGGAAAGTTTTATTCGGAACTCACGCTTCATTGTCCATCAGCGCAGCCACGCGGGAGAGAAGCCGTACAAGTGCCTGCAGTGTGAGAAAAGTTTTAAAAAAAGTTCCTCTCTCATTAAACATCGGCGAATCCACACCGGAGAAAGACCCTATAAGTGTCTTGTGTGCGGGAAAGATTTTATTTGCCGTTCGCACCTGAATACGCACCAGAGAATCCACACGGGTGACAGACCCTATCAATGCCATGATTGTGGGGAAAAGTTTGTGGAGAGATCAAAACTTACAGCTCACGAGAGAATGCACACAGGCGAGAGACCCTATAAGTGCGTGGACTGCGGGCGGAGCTTCATTCGGAAATCACACCTCCTTATACACCAGAGCACGCACACCGGAGAGAGACGCTTTAAATGTCTCGAGTGTGGCAGAAGCTTCATTCGGAAGTCACACTTTATTATACACCAGCGCGTGCACACCGGAGAGAGGCCCTTTCAGTGTCTTGAGTGTGGGAAAAGCTTCATTCGGAAGTCCAATCTCGTTATACATCGGAGAAAGCACACAGCAGAGAGACCCTTTCAATGTCAGGAGTGTGGGAAAAGTTTTATTCAGAACTCCGTCCTCATTGCGCACCAGCGAATCCACACGGGAGAAGCCCCGTATAAATGCCAGGACTGTGGGAAAACTTTTAGGGGAAGATCTGTCCTTCTTCACCACCGGAGAATCCACACCGGAGAAAGACTCTATAAGTGCCTGGAGTGTGGGAAAGATTTCATTTTCCCCTCGCAGCTCACTGCACATCAGAAGATCCACACAAAGGACAAACCGTATCTATGCCACAAGTGTGGGAAAAGCTTTCTGCAGAGGATGTATCTTGCCAATCATGAGAAAATCCACACAGGAGAGAGACCCCATAAGTGCATGCACTGCGGGAAAGGCTTCACTTGGAAATCTAACCTTCTTATCCACCAGCGTGTGCACACCGGAGAGAGACCCTTTCAGTGCCGGGAGTGTGGGAAAAGCTTCATTTGTAACTCCGCGCTTATCGTGCATCAGCAAACCCACACGGGAGAGAAACCTTATCCGTGCCCGGAGTGTGGGAAAAGTTTTCGGGGGAAGTCGGATCTTGCTAGGCACCGACGCACCCACACGGGGGAGAGACCCTATAGTTGCCTCGCATGTGGAAAGGGCTTTAAACAGCTCTCCGCCCTGATTGAACACAGGAGAATCCACACCGGAGAGAAGCCGTACACATGCCCGGAGTGCGGGAAGAGTTTCCGTTGGAAAGCAACCCTTAACACGCATCAGAGAACCCACACGGGCGAGGAACCCCACAGGTGCTCGGTCTGTGGGAAATCCTTCAGCCACCGCTCGAGCCTTATTCAGCACGGGAGAATCCACACCGGGGAGAGGCCTTACACGTGCCCGGAGTGCGGGAAGGGCTACAAGGCTCGCTCGGAGCTCACCAAACACAGGAGGATCCACACCGGGGAGAGGCCTCACCCGTGCCCCGAGTGCGGGAAGAAATTCAGGACCAGCTCGATGCTGTCCAAACATCGGAGAATCCACATGCGCAAGAGACCCTAGGAGCAGCCTGGCTGCAGGAGACCGTTCGACTGGACTTCACAGCGGCAAGATATGGGGCAGAGAGGGGGGGCTCCCTGTGCTGCTCCCGGAGCACCCGGCCCCCCCAGGGAAGGAACCTCGGAGCCGTTCACGGGGCGGGAAAATCTCCTGGTGGCGCTCACGCTGTATGGGACATCAGAGACTCCCCCTACAGCAGGGAAATTCTCGTGAGGTCCCAGGGAGACAGACCCCCCCCACGTCCCCGCGCCCAGCAGGGGCGCTTGGCTCCCAGCTGCCCCTGGATGGGGGGGAGGCCTGAGCAAGGACCTTCTGGCTCTGCCTGGCCTCAGCAAACCCCCGGCAGGGGGGAGCCCCCCCCCAGCTGCCTCTGCCTGCCTGAAGTTCCCCCCTGTCCACCTGCCCCACCTTCCTCCAGCCCCTGGGCCGGGCTCCCCGCTGCCCTAGAGCTGCTCCCGGCAGGGGGGTGGCCCTGGGGCCGGGTTGGGGGGTGTCCCTGCGGGCTCTGGGGTCGCTCACTTTCTTATTCACGTGGCTTGCCAGGACGTGGCACCGCATGACTGTGTTTGACTCCCCGGGGCGTGTGGTTTCTGTGTCCTCCTTAGCGGCTCTGGCTTGGGTTTGCCAGCCCGGGGGGGCTCTCCTGTGGGCTCCCTCTGGGGCCGCTTCCGAGCCCCCTTTTCTCCCCCAATAAAATGGCGTCTGGTTTCTAGGATCGCCCCGCCAGTGTGATTTCCCATGTGGGCGGGTGTGTCTCCTTTCCCGGGGGTGACGGGAGTATCACTCTGCCGTTGCCCCCCAAGGAGGGGGATATGTGGGGGCTGGAGGGATTCCCGGGGGCCGAGCGGCCTCGGCGCTGATCTCGGGGTCTGTGTTGGCAGTAAGGGGGGGCCTGGCCCGGGGGGGTTGGAGGGCCTGAAGCTCCGGCATTGGGGGGCTCCGGGGTGTCTCAGCCCCTCGTGTGACATCACAGGACCCCTCTCCCCGGTCTCTCCCATGGGCTGGCTGGCGTGGGACCCTTCCTGGCCCCCCCAGTCTGTGTGGGGAGCCAGGGGGCTGGAGTCTGGTTCTGTGGGGCTGGTGAATTTTTCTACATGCCCAAGTGTCTGTCTGAGGCCTCATCCCCCAGCCACGGCCCCCCGCGGGCAGGGTGGGGCCGGTTCCGAGATGACCTCCCTTTGGGGTTCCCCGATGCTCCCCAAATCCCCTGCGGGCCCCCGGCTCTTCTAATACTCATCCCCGATTCTCCCCGAAATCCCCTGACGGGCTCTTCTAACACTCATCAGCTGCATCTAATCCACCCCGACCCATCTGCCTCGGTCCCCCCCAGCCAGAGCCCAAACCGGCCCCCAAGTGAGGGAGGACCCCGGCCTGCCCAGAGCGGCTGGCCCCCCGCC